ATATATATATATATGCATATATATATATATATTATATATATATATATGCATATATATATATATATGCATATATATATATATATATATATGCATATATATATATATATGCATATATATATATATATGCATATATATATATATATGCATATATATATATATATGCATATATATATATATATGCATATATATATATATATATGCATATGTATATATATAAATATAAATATATATACACACATATATACATATATACATATATATACACATATATATACATATATAAACATACACACACACATACACACACACACACACACACACACACACACACACACACACACACACACACACGCACACACACACGCACGCACGCACGCACGCACGCACGCACGCACGCACGCACGCACGCACGCACGCACACTCTCTCTCTCTCTCTCACACACACACATACATATACAAACAAGCACAGCCACACAGAATACCTCTGACATGCTCCCCAAAACAGGCAAACAAAGCAAAATTTCATGTTGTGTTTGTAACTGGTTAGAGCCAACCATGCAGCTTTCATGAGCACCATATATCCCATGTTGAGTAATAAAACAAAACAAAACAAAACAAAAAATGTTAAAACCTTCTCCCTTCTTATCAAAATATCACAACTGTATTTCAAAATACAAGAAAATATACATTATTCCTTCGATAAGCTTCCCTATAAACTCAACCTCACTGAAGTCACTGTATAGATTAATTCTCATCTATTCACTGGTTACTTACAAACATATGATAAAAATATTTGAAAGCTTAATCTCACATGTGATACAAGAAAAGTACCTACATTAACCCATTGCTGCCAGAAAAAATGTAGTTTTCGTCATAGTACTGGTTTATGAAATGTCTTTTCACACAGATTGCTCCAGAAGTGCTTAGTCACCAAGTAGCCAATTAGTCAACCTTGTGACATCACCTGATTTCACCTTTCCTTGAGTTTTTGCTAGGTGTTGTTGTTGTTCTATAACTAATGCTATCAATATTGATGCTGTTATTATCATCATAGACTTTATAATTATCATAATGTTATTGACATTACTAACCGCAATATATGATAAAAGAAAATATTTCTAAATGAAGGAAAAGGGTTAACAGGTGGTAGGTAGTACTAGTAATTGGCTCATTGGTGACTAAGTACTTGTGGAGCCATCTCAGTGTGAAGACAATTAATAAACCAAACTCAACAGTCGGACTGGTATGTATGTACATGTCATCCCCAGCGGCATCAGGTTAACTGACAGAAGCAATTATTTTTTATTTTTGCTTACTCTTGTCACAAACTACTGTATATCTATATTCTATATTATTTCTATGACATCTACTTTCTTGTACTTCAAAGCACAGCAGTTTCTGGTTAAGGAACCACATACCATCACCCATCACTATAATGATACTAACTCACCTTCACTCAAGATTAGAGCCCAGAGATTTCCTGCAACATAAGACTTTAATATTTATAAATGAAACTACCTAATTAATAAGCCACTATTAACCAATGCGAGGAATTTAGGTATACTGGCTGAGTATCACAGAAAAAGGTAATTTCCAGTAAAGAGCAAAGGTATAAAAAGGTGGATTTCAGAGCAATCACTAAAAGTTTAAACAATTTTATACAATTAAATTTTGACAAGAAATGAAATATACTGAAAGTATAAAATTTTGTTAATCAAAAAGAAATGATGAAAAAGTCTTGCTCTGAAAATTAACAGACAGAATATATAAGTGTCTTTTGGATGAAGAGCTACTGTTTTTTTTGTTTTTGTTTTTTATATAAAACAGGGAGTATTTTGTGAAATAAGAACTAAATTCTTAATTTTATCTGCTATAGTTAGCCTATGTAGTCTGTGATTCATGTATCACTGTCAAGGAGGTCAAATAAAGTTGATATTCTTGTTTGTTTGATGTGGGATCTTGTCCAATGAAGGGGTTATGACACATACTAGGGAACCTTTCCTCATATCAAAAACTAGGGCATATTCAGGCTTAAAACTGTCTGTTGTTTTATATCCAAGAGCAGCTCATATTCAGGGTCAGTACAAGCCAAAAGTTGCAAGTTCATCCATATTCTTGACATGTCCCTCATGCTTTACAACAGTCCAGATATCCCATTTGCTTATATATATTGTATACATATAATGTCTGTATAGAGCATTAGTACATTATGCAGGGATATATGTTAGTCTGCCATTGTGCTATATTCATATTCAAAACTTAAAACCAGATATCTGCCCTATCAGAAGTCTTTGAGCAAAACAATGAACATTAATACATAACTAACAGTCTCTTCATATTAAATATGTCAATGTCAATGCCCTATTGAAATAGTCTGTCATTTAATATCAGGTCTTCCTACATTGTGAAAAATTATTAAATAATTTGAGTGCTTATACTAAAACACACAAATACACTATTCTACATGTGCCTTTGCTAGTTTTTAAATCACATTTCTAACTAAAAGGTTCTTCTTTTGTCAAATTATACCACATGCATCACAAGGTATTTAAGGTGTGCAGGTGTCTTTAACTCTACATTAAATTTGTCTTTTGAAAGGAACTATGTATGTGACTACAGTGATGCCTAATAACACCCAAGTCCTTTAGAAATGAAAATACATTTGTAACTTTCTTACCTCCTCCATGATGCTGTCCATGGCCAAGTTTCAAGTTAATGATCTCATGCTTAGTTTCTTGAACTAAAACATTAAGCCATATACACAGATTGGTCCCAATCATGTGCATAAGACCAAATCTTGCCACAATCCTATGTCGGCTAATTGCAACCTGAAATGAATAAAGACAGGCAATAACAAAGAATATAAACTTTACAAAATTTCCATTTCCATTTGGTATATGAAGTTATGCTCTCAATTTCCTAATACTAAAATGTGGAACAAGAAACAAGAAAATAAGACAGGAAAGAATGGTAACAGAAGGTACGAGAGTAGGGGGAGAGGAGAGTTAGAGGAGGAGGAGGAGGAGGAGGAGGAGGAAGAGGAAGAGGAAGAGGAAGAGGAGGAGGAGGAAGAGGAGGAAGAAGAGCAGGAGGGAGGGAAGGATGTGTCATTTGTGTTCATGAGTGCAAGTGAGTGTGTGTGTGTGTGAGAGTGAGTGAGTGAGTGAGTGAGTGAGTGAGTGAGTGAGTGTGTGTGAGCATGTGTGTGTGTGAGAGTGAGTGAGTGAGTGAGTGAGTGAGTGAGTGAGTGAGTGAGTGAGTGAGTGAGTGAGTGTGTGTATGTGTGTATGTGTGTGTGTATGTGTGTGTGTGTGTGTGTGTGTGTGTGTGTGTGTGTGTGTGTGTGTGTGTGTGTGTGTGTGTGTGTGTGTGTGTGTGTGTGAGTGTGTGAGTGTGTGAGTGTGTGAGTGTGTGAGTGTGTGAGTGTGTGAGTGAGTGAGTGAGTGAGTGAGTGAGTGAGTGAGTGAGTGAGTGAGTGAGTGAGTGTGTGTGTGTGCGCATGTATTTTCATGAGTGAATCTGTTTTTGCATGTGAATGGGTATGTCTGCCAGTTTATCATTATATACTGGAAAAAGTACAAACATAAGTAAAACAAACCCTTGAATTGAGGAAAATGAAATACATCTGGATGAAAGTGAACAACATTCGAGCGCCTGGTGCAATGGCCAGCAGAATATCAGCACAGTTGTCATCCCCTTTTAATTCAAAGTACTGGCCAACTTCCAAGCCACTGTAGATCATGCTGCCAATTCCAAACACTGAAAGGTTAATGTTAAAGTGTGTTAAACATGAACTATATTTCTTTCATATATGTACATACATATATATACAAATATACATATATAAATATATATACAAATATACATACATATATATACACACTGTTCTCATCCCTCCCTGTGAATTTACATATCTTAGCCTGTATTTAAGCAAAAATTTTATACTAAGGAAAAACATGAGCAATAAAGACTGCCTAGTTACCACAAGAATCTCTGCATGAATTGTTTCAGGAAACTTCATTTGTATTAAGATGAGAATACTCTGTTTAGACAATGATACTGAAAGCTATATTTCATCTCAATAGATTTATGGCCCTTGCCCTTTAGATGTACTGAATGCCACTACCACAAATACTTACACACTGCACCCATTTTGAGGTACATAGATCCATGGTTGTTGCTTTCTGTAAGAGTATACTTGGCCGGCTTGAAGCTCATCGTGTTGACTGAAGCTCGATCTGACTCCTTGTCTAGTTCTGAGCCCCCTGACAAGTGTGACTCACGACTTGCCATACGACCTGAAAGGGTTTGATTTGTATAGTATTTATCTCACATTCAGAGAACAGTACTGAAGATATGATGGATTATGTGCAGGAATCTGTAATATGTACAGATGAAGACACCATTTTTTTTTTCGTCTTTTCAGTATGACTATTTACAAATGGGAAGCAGAAATTCTTTGGTATTTTGCCACTCAGTGGAATACCTGACCAACCAGAGAGAGTAAAATGTAATCAACATCTAACAATGTGGAATTAATAAAAGCTATCATGCAATTATCTACCCCTAACCTAATAACAATAACATTTCTTTTAAACAGCATGACACAAATGAACTTGTTTTATGGCCTCCGGATGAAAAAATTATCTTTTGGCATTCATAAACTACAGTGGCTAAAACATAATTAATTTAGCAACATAATAGCTAGATGTCACAGATCAAAAAATAAGGGTTTGATAATACTATGAGTCTTCTCCCTTTTGAGCCTTGAAATAGTGTCAAACTCTTATATTGAAAATAAAGTCTCAGTCAACTCAGTCTTGAGATTATGAAATGGCAAGTGATGAGGAATATTAGCAAGCATTTATAGCAATTCATACTGGTATTTTAAAATCATTCTTATAGTTGTTTAAATTGTCCTTTATCCCTACCAAGATGTCTTTTGATAATCAAAAGCAGTATTAACCCCTCACAGATGGGTTCTGTAATAATACATAAGCTTCCATCAATACCATACAAAGTCATAAATGATAAATACAAACACTTTAAGTCTCTTGATTGGTATCCCAAAACTTGTATTTATATTCCCATCCCTGAAGGGTTAACATGTTGAACTTATGACTAAATTTAACAGGTCAATTTCCTACACAACATGCCTCTAAAGCAGTTTAAAACAAACAACTGTGTTTTAGATTCCTATAAACATATTACAGGTATTATGCATCAGCACAATCTTGCCATCAATTACTTACAATGATTTGCAACCTTGAGCCCTAAAGTGGACGACAAACTTACTTTTCTCCATGCACCTAAAGCGCTAATATGCCAATACAGTATTCATTCATCATAGGTGTCATATCTCTCAATAATTAGCACACTTGTCAATCTTAAAAAAGAAATAGTAAAGGCATGTGTATTCCATGAATATTTTTTTCATATTCTGCATGGTATCTTGGGCTTGCTACATGCACAAGGAAAATGAATTACATACACAATGATGTATAGTGTGTAAGCAAATTTGATATCTCACATAAATTTGCATAAGTATGTAAGAATAATGAAGAAAGGAACATAAACTGACAGTAAAAAAGAAGACATTATTGTTTCAATAATTACTAGATTAGTGGAAATGAGTTGAAAAGTTTCTTTATGATTCATGCAGACTGGTAATGTAAAATCAGTGTAACAAATTAACTAACATGTTACATGTAGTTACTATAAACATGCAAATGCTAATTCATAAATGGTGAAAATATCAGATACTAATCCCTAGCTTTAATTTTCCTAAACACACAATAATATGAAATCATTTCACCTTGAATGATCTGAAGTCTTTCATGCTTCTGTATGTTACCTATAAACATTCATGGATAAATATTTAACCAAAACATATAACATCTTGGATAAGGAAAAACTTCTATAAATGCAAATGAAAGATGAAAAAAGATTAGGAAGAAGATAACATAGATACACTACATGCTCTCTCTCCATGTCATAAACATTTACAATTTTTTATGCATAAAATATTCTGGATAAATCCTTTCTCTGTGGAAGATGTGAGACAGCCTGCAGCATGATTGTCATAAGTAGCTTTTAAAGCCTTGGTATTTACAAAGATCTCAATATATGTACATTCCTCTGTCAACATGCCCAATTTGCTGTAAGCATAAAGCACCTTTGTACATATTCCAGTATTCATAAAGACAACTGAGAACTAAAATGTAATGTCAATAATAATGTGTTTTTGGTGTAATCTTAGACCTAATTTTCATATAAAACATCAAAACACCTATGATTGGAGTAAACTATGACCATAACTGTAACGTTTAACATGTAGTATACTTAAACAGTTGTAAAAACATTAATGAATAGATCAACGAAAAACAAAATAAATGAAATTCATACATCATTAAGAAATTGGCATAATGCTTCATAAAGTGCCCTCTTCTGAGTTTATTCTATTGTTATTTCTATTGTTTATCCTTCTTTTTATTCCCTCCTAAATCTGGTTAGATAATGTTAAAACACCTTACTGTGATCCCATGTTAATATTTGTAATTGTGGTAGTTCTCAATCATCTTTGAAATGTTATTATTCTTTCTACCTGTACCCTCTTGCTGCGAAGAGTTCCGATGAGGGAAGACCATGTGTAAGTCAGGCATAGCCATGTAGTTTCCTGGAATTGTATAATGGCAACAAGGCTTTGGTTGGTTCATGTTCTTCAACTGTCAGTCAAAGCAAAAACATGTCAAAATTTGCACTAGCAAACCACGTCTTCTTGCGGTTACCACAAGCTTATTTACATAAACACCATCAGGTACTTCATAAAAAAAAATATATATATAAATAAGAAATAAATGTATAAACAAATAAAATAAAATAGATGTTGGAATCAAGAGCATCATGAAATTGACCTCCAAAGCAATAATTAGCCAATGAACCCATGGAGTGCAAGGCAACAGCTCAAGTCGCTTAACTCCTGAATGCAAGCTTCTTTAATAAAGAAAAACAAGAAAGAATGTTGATTTTTTGTTATTTACTGCACACCACTGGGCAGGATCAAATAGGGTAATTGCTCACTCCATTGGTTATCCCATTCACAGCTCCTGGAATCAACGGTATCAGTAAAATATTTTCTTACAAATACAACCAATTGTTTATGGTATCCATTTCTAAATCTAAAAGCACTGGAAATGATGGAAGGGAAAGCCGTTCAGAAATTTTCAGGTACCATACAGCAAGAAAAGAAAAAAATAAATATATATACTTATCTCAGGGAAAGTGACATGACAAATGGGAAATCTTTCCTTTTTATTCAATTCTTGCAAAAGCTTGAAATATAAAATCTATTCTTTACAATATGATTAAAAGCAAGTTTGCCAATATTTTCCTATTACAATTATAAATTAAAAAAGGATCATAAACAAGGGACAATTGTTTTCTTGCTGTAGAGTAGTGCATACAGAATTTGAATATCCTTGAACTGGGAATTTCTATATT